AGTGAGAACGCAAAAAAAAAAAAAAAAAAAAAAAAAAAGCTGATTTAGCCAAATTTATTAAATATCATTCCCATTGTTTTGGAAAATTTTTTAGAATAGTACCAATTACAGTAGAAAGATGATGCCATAATAAAATATATTATAGAATTATTTTACATATATGTCCTGTTTAATGAATACATATTTTCCTTGTAATTAAAAAGATTAAATCTTTTACAAAAAAGAAATAATTTTATTACACCAAATTCACGATAAAACCGTACAAAGCCAAAATGCAGCTAGGGCTTTAAATGAGCCGAGCTCAAGTTGGGCTCGTGTTCGGCTCGTTCGAAATTGTTCGTGTTTGAAATCGACTTGTGAACGTGTGTTCGTGTTCGGCTCGTTAAAATTAAATTAAAAAAATAGATGTAGAGTGTTAGATTCGAACCTGAACCAAATATATGCAAAACAATGTGCATAACCACATTACCACAAGAGCAATTACAATTTAAACTTAGATATAAATATATATAATATATTATTATAGAAATAATATGTGTAATATATTTTTATAAAAACGAGCAGAACACGAGCGAACAAAAAGCTGTTCGTGTTTGATTCGTTTATAATTCGAGCTTTAAAACTTGTTCGTGTTCGGCTCATTTACTTAACGAACGAGCCGAACACGAGCTACTTAACGAGCCGAACACGAGCTGTTCGCGAACAACGAGCTTTTTTGACAGCCCTAAATGCAGCAGGGCTTTGCAAAAATTAACTTAAAACATCAAAATGCTTCACTAAAAGCCAAAAATTAGATTGAATTACACAAATAACTTGAAAGCATATTAAACAATAAAAACACTTCATTTGTGGAACCAAATGATTCTTTCACAAATCAGCAGTTCACCAAAAGAGAACAAAAATTTCATACAAAACAAAATTTCACTGAGAAATATCAAATGAGCTATAAAATAATCCTAACCTTCTTCTTAAAGGCAAAGAGAGCTTCATTATTCCACACAGACAGTTTCAAGCAACTTCTCTGTCTCACTGCTGATCACCACATTCTCCATCTTCAACCTCTGCCGAATACCGGGGCTTCTCTTTCCGGCCGCCACATAAATCCTCAAAAGGGCCTCAAAAACGTCCCCTCCCAATTCATGCCGCACCATCTTCAAAAGCTCCATCAATTTTTCCGCGCTCTTAACCGCCTTATTCTGCTCAAACCAAACCATCAAGGCCATGATAACTTCACTCTTCGGCACCCAGATCCTCCCATGGCTTCTACCCTTCTTAACTCCGCGATCGACGCACCGCAGCACCATCTTCATATCCCCTTTCCTCATGTAATACTCCATGAAGATCTCCCATGTCTTCGAATTCAGCCGTCCACCTTTCTTCTTTGCTCTCTTCTTAAACGCTTCGGCTTTCTCAACCATGTCTTCCTTCAAGTAAGCCCCAATCAATGCATTCGCCACCCGCATATCGTACGTCGAGCACTGAGATTCCCATTCCTTGAAAATTTCCTCGGCGGCCAGCATATCATTCAGTTTCACAAGCACCTGAATCACATTCAAATAACTAATATTCGGTGTCTTCGGGAAAGCGAGCTTCAGAGATCGCCATACACGGTGAACTTCGACGAGATTGCCGGTTCGGCCATAAAGCGTCAACAGGAACTGGTAAGCCTCAAGATTTGAAAGTGATTTTCTCTTTTCTAGTTCTTGCAGAGCTGCTTCTGCTTTCTGAAACATGCCGGCATCGACATAGATGGATGCGAGATTACTATAGGTCGTCCAATCCGCCGAAATCCGGCCATCTCTCTTCATCTCTTCGATAACTCTGCCAACGGCAGATATGTCATTCATGGCAGCGAGGCCTCTCATCCAAACATTGTACGTGAAGCAATCAGGCAATATGGCATTAGCCTTCATTTCTTGTATGATGGTGGGAATTCTCTCAGGCTGATTGGTTTTGGAGTAGAGGGTCATTAAGCTGTTGTACGCCATAGAAGTGGACATGAAGTTCAGCTCCTTCATCTTCTCGACGAGGGCTTCGGCTTTCTCTGTTTTGAGCTCCTTGCAGTAGCAATTGAGGAGAGCGCCATATGTCAAGTGGTTTTTAGCATGTTCGTGGAGCTTAATGAAATATTCCTCTGCGGCACCAAGTCCTCTGGATTTGGCTACAAGATCTAGCTGGATTGCGTGATCACTCAGTGTCAAGTTCATACCTCTCTTGGCCATGGCCTCTTGAAGCTGAAGCAAGAAGTTTCTTAAAGTTTAGTGCGTCATCTACAAATAAAACTCCTCATGAATGCTCAAGTAGATTATTATGGAGAGAAGTGTCAAAATAGTCCACTGATTCTTTGCAAAGGTGTCATTACAGTCCCAAAGTCTATAAAAGTGCTAATTTAGTCTCTATATTTGACATTGTCTTCATGAAGGACTATTTCAACCTCAATTTAAAGATTCTAGGGGCTAATTCGACACTTATAATGACTGTGAGCCTAAAATGACCACATGTAAATGGTAAAGGGTACTATTTTGACATTTTGCTCAAATTTTATGTGATACTAATTTAGAGTAGGGTGATGGTTTATCCATTTAAGATTAACAAAATGTCAAGCGGATTAGCGATGCCCTTTAACTTAACATACTGAGAATTCAAAAATAAGAAACTACCAAATTCATCATGAAATAAAACAATAATTGAGTTATAAGTCGCAACGAATTGGTAATACTAGCGAGCTATGTCGCGTGAATAACAGTTTAGATTTTCCTATAAGAATAAGAACACAAAAAGAGAGACTTGGGCCCTTAAGAGTAAGACAAGCTGACACCTACAAGCAAAATTAAACAGAAGGGTTCCTATAAACTAAGTTTGGTCGCTTTTAACGAACAAATTTGAGCAGAACCAATGACAAGTTTTTGTTTCTTTTAACATGCAAAATTCCAAATCAAAATCGAATAAATCATAAGCACAACTTAAATATACACATTACTGCTAATCCCGCTATGAAAGAATGGTGAAAATATGGTCCAAGGAAGATGATTCCATGTATCTCTTCCTTCAGCTATTTGAGACAATAATCATTCAACACTATTATATGTTTCAGAAGTTCCATAAGCACGACAGCAGACAATCAGTGATTGCAATTAAAAGAGTTACAAAAGAATAAACATCTGCTAAGTTTGCAAATACACATATATAGCAATGCTCCACAATTCTAAACTTTTATCATGAAAGTTTTCTTCACTGGATGCCACCATAGGCTTTTAACTGTTATAACATAAATACTAAATAAGAATTTTCTAAAAATTTTTCGATGAAAATATCTAAAGTTTTTTTTGTGACTTGGATATCTATAAAATATTTCATTGTTCTCTAAGGGTCCGTTTGGTTTGCTAAAAATGAAATGCAATGTTAAAGATTTGTGGAGTGTAACGATTACAATGTATTTGAAATAAATTCAAGTTGTCTGATTTGCTATAAAATATATATAAGACTTTATATTTTTCAGTTTGGTTTGAAGTAGATTGAAAATAACATATTTACTTGGGGAAAAGGGCAGCAGACGGCAATAGAGGGAAGCATATGGTGACGGCGGGCGGAGGGGCGGAGGGGAGGAAGGGAAGAGAGGCGGTGGGGGCAGAGGGGGCTGGCATTGGCGACAGACGGTGGCAAAAAGCGACGGCGGGGGGGTACGAGGGGGGGGGGGCGAAGGGCGGTAGAGGGTGGCAGGCGAGGCGTTCGGCGGGGGCTGCGAGCAAAGGCGGGTGGCGTGCTATGGCGGCGACGGCGGCGGGCAATAGCGACTTGCCTATAACATTTTACATGAACGATGTAATTCAAATTTGGCCAAATCGGCCAAATTCTAAATTAAGCCAAAATGAACTACGATGAAAACTTCAAATTCATTAAAACTTTACATTATGTTTCTAAATTTTCATACCAAAAATAGAATTTTCTCAAATCCCTGCAAAAAAAATTACATTACACCACCAATTAACTCAACCAAACAACTCCTAAGAATTTTGGAAGATGGTAAACTTGATATGGTGTGATTAGGTGGGTAATATTTGTGATGTTTTCTTGCTATTGGAGCTATACCCAATGACTTTAACTACATACACATGATAAGATTTCAGCTTCAATTCCGTCATACCCGAGCAAATTTCAGGGTTAGGAACTAAAAGCAGAGTGTATTCTCTCGTGGAGACAAGAACTCTAAAAACATATTTATAACTTTTACAAAAGACAAATTCAAAGCTTTATTAGCAACTTTAGCAAGAATCAATTCATATTGGCCCAAATCCTTTTTTTCCTTTGCAATAAAAAGGAAAGAAGGAAATTAGTGAAAATCGTTTATCATTTTTCTCTCACCAAATATATTAGTTCAGAAAAAATGAAGTAAATAATATCCAAGGTTGAATCTGCATGGAACCAAGATCCTTAAAAATGTTCGCTTGTTGAAAAAGTAATTTTAGATGACCCTCCAATGTTATGGAAATGATGAAAAGCTTCACGCCAAAAAAAAAAAAATTAAATTATTTTAATCTCAAGGTCATTAATAACCATCAATCATTGTATTACTTATGAGTTAAATAATGAAATTATAAGGTAGGATAATGGAAATGGGATAGAAACATTACATCAATACCTGAGCATCATTGCCAACAAATTCATGGAAAAAAAAAGCAGGATTTTTTAAAATAAAAGGAATAAAACCTATTTGAGATAATATATCTGGCAGCCTAAGTGCTCTAGCCAATATGAGACAAATGGTGAAATCAACGCATCAACGCATAGGCACAACCTAAAGGTCTTATTCAACTTGACCAGCAAATGAGTGAAATAAGTTAGTATTCCTTATAATTGGATTGATTTGTAACCTCCATTGAACCTCTTTCGAATCCAATTGGCTAGAATAAGCAAACCAAATAAGATTTCAAATTGGTGGATGCATGGACACATTTAAGTGTGTGAATCAAGGTTTTGCAATTCCATCACTCTAAAAACAACATAAATAGTATTTTTTTAGCAAGATGGAACAATATGCATCTCCTTTCTTCATCCCACTCTCTCAAATTTTTCGCTCCTCGTGTATTAAATCATGAAACTAGAGTGATAAGTACTGAAAGAATAAGCAACATATAAAAATAAACCCCATTCCTTCTGGCAGCTCAGAAATGGAATTCTAAACCAAAAAGTTATCAAGCACAAGCTCCAGATCCTAATGGTATCACATTGTTATTTCTAGTTAGCACTCAAGTCTAAATATCAGGAAGATTATCTACAATCATCATAATCTTCCATCAGCCACGCGACTTAACTAATAATCAAATTACGCCTCCAAGATTTCATTCTCTTAATAAACGCAAATCACAAAAATCTGCACTCTTTTAACGAAATCTAAGTTCTAACATTGACAGAATCGGAAAACTCTCAAAACCACATTCTAACAGCGTTAGAATCCACTGAAAACACTCCAAAATGCCAAGAAAACGAAGAGGATCGAGTCCTTCCCATCGTCAGCGTAAGCAAACAACAGAAAAGAATGGGGGCAACATAGATTTTGATGCAAGGAATCAAATTTAGGGTTTCTAAGTCACCTTGAGAGCTGGACGGAAGCGTTTTCGTTCCCGAAGCTTGCGAATGGATAAGCCGACCTCCCATTTGAAGACGCGCTTCCGGCTCTTAAGAAAGAGGGTTAGCTCCTTTCTGATGCTCAGTGGCGAGCTTCCCTCTCGGAAGAGTCTCGTGTACAGCGCCTCCTCCAAGTACTTGCTCGATCTCTTTGCCATCAGCCTCGTCGCCGTCGCCATTTCTCTGCTCGCTGTGCTTTTTCCTTCCCGTTTTGAACCCCAACAAATACAAGGGGTTTACAGACTGGTCAAAGCCAGCACAATTCTTACATAATTACATATCTATCACATTTTATGTTACATCTGTAAATATATAAGAAGTGTGTGGTATATAAATAAATGCCCCTAAAAAAAAAAGATCTACATAGACACCGCTTAACTCTTATATATTTACTTATTTAACATTTAAACTTAAATTATTACATACATGCCCCTTTACTGGATGAAATATATATATATATATATATATATATATA